AAGTTAAAAAATAAATAGGACACAAGAGACCCAATGGTCATAAAAACTATTTAGCAGGAGGCTAATGAATGTGAACATAAAAAGAGGACAGAAAACAGAGAATTAAGCAACGTTGACAGGGCAGAAACAGAGAATCAAGCAACCTTGACCCGGCAACCCGTTCAACAGCTAGTCGCTTAAAAACATTTGACTCAAACAAAACAACGGTCAGAGATTTTTCCCATACCCTGTCTTTCCGAAAAGTAGTCACAGATTTCCCCAAAAAAGCGTTAGACCNTAGTCGCTTAAAAACATTTGACTCAAACAAAACAACGGTCAGAGATTTTTCCCATTGTCTTTCCGAAAAGTAGTCACAGATTTCCCCAAAAAAGCGTTAGACCACTTCGTTGCATTCCTATGCCGCAAAACATATTCTTTCCCTCCTTCACCGTTCCTTGTCGCCNTTTTCCCATTGTCTTTCCGAAAAGTAGTCACAGATTTCCCCAAAAAAGCGTTAGACCACTTCGTTGCATTCCTATGCCGCAAAACATATTCTTTCCCTCCTTCACCGTTCCTTGTCGCCCCCTCTCTCTCAAATTCATGAAACCCTAAAAATTTTTCGTTGTGTTTTCAACATCCGTCAAACGCAAATTAGATACCGGCTTGATCTTGCCATTGAAGCATTCCAGGTTTTATTTCAGGTTACATATTTGAGTTCTATATATTAATGTGCACAAGTTAACATATGATTTGGTGCTTGTATGCATGCTATGAACCGTTGTTCAATAGATTCCGTATTCTGATGCTTTAGCTGCATTTGTATTTTTTTGTGGGATATATAGAGCTGCATTTGTTTGTAAAGTTAAAAGTTTCTCTTTTTTTTTTTGTCATTACCCATTGTAATGTATTGTTTATGTAATTTGGAAAAAGTTTTATCACACCCCGGTGGTTTTGAAAGTCCCCAAGTAGTTTTAAAAATATTAGTCCAACTGACATTTTTGATTAAAAACGTCATTTCAACCAACCAACGTCTGNGGTGGTTTTGAAAGTCCCCAAGTAGTTTTAAAAATATTAGTCCAACTGACATTTTTGATTAAAAACGTCATTTCAACCAACCAACGTCTGATTGTTGAAAACGTCGGACCAAAATTTTCTCTTCAAAAGTCAAGGCAAAAAAGATCCAGAAAATATCATTTACACTGATGTTTTCACACGAAAACGTCAGTTGGACTGATGCCTATAAGAAACGTCAGTTCAGCTAACTTTTTCATTTTTTTTTGTTGTCCATTCATTCAAGATTATTTTTTTTGAGCATTTTTCTGATTTGCATTTAGTTTTTTTGGGTCATTTTAACATCCACCCATTAACCTACCACACCCACTTCCCGTATCTTTTAATTAATGGCTGCTAGTTTAATAAGTGATTGATTGAATTATCCAATGGTTTATAGGCGTTATACTTGATGAAAATGAAACAACCAGACATTCAAACAGTTTCAGAATCACTAGAAGTACTAGATTAATCACATATGGATTGTGGAAGAACAAAGGCAAAATAAAGGTCATGGTCATATGACATGAAACATATAACAAAGATAGGTAGTTATGGCGTTTGGCGATCTGCTTCTGGCTATTGTACATTTGTTGGTGATAAACTGGTTACTTGGCGCATTAAGAAATAGAATGTGGTTGTTTGTTCTAATGTAGAGTCTAAGTATCGTGTTATGACACATACTGCGTGTGAGATGTTTCTTTATTTCGTGATATGGGACTCGATGTGTCTTCCCCTATGAGAATGAATTGTGACAACCAAATAGTTATTTTCATTGTAAGTAATCCAGTATTTCATGAGTATATTAAATATATTGAGATGAATTGTCATTTCATTCAAGATCTCTTGATATAAAAGGAAATCATCACTTCATATATCAAATCTGGCGATCAGCTGGTTGACATTCTTACTAAGCCATTGGCTCGGATTGCGTTTAGTAGTTTATGTTCTAAGTTGGATATTTTTTATCTGTATGCTGCAGCTCCGGGGAGAGTGTTAGAGTTATTATTTCTCTATTAGATATAAGTTAATTACTGTGGGGTAATAGTGTAATTATCCAGGTATTACTCAGTTATAAATAAATGAGTGTAGGACAACCTAGTCTACACATAACTGATTATTCCTTTCTTTCTTGTCTCTTCTCCTTTTTAATTCCTCCTTTTGAACTCTTGTATTAGATTTATTATTTCAATTGGAATAATGAAATTAAAATTGTTGCGTAAACAACACCAATAACGATTTTACTAATAAATAAGTTAATATGATACAAATTGTTATATACAATAATGAGGTAAAGATAACAAAATAAAGGTAACCAATATCTGCCAAGTTCCATATGGTGGTGCCTTCCTCTGTCGCTTGGGCAGTTGTCCCTCTTGCAAATTTGGCATCTCTTGTGTCAAAGGGTGCGACACTTCGACATCTACATGATATGTGCATGGTGCCCACGACCCCTAACTCCACGCCCCCTCATACTCTAGGCCCTTCTCTAGCCCCCCTCTATATAAAAGTGAAGGCTCCTGCGTTACTCCCTCAACTGGACACTCATCATCTCCTAAAGAGTGGTCATATGAACTAGGAGAGGTATGCCTATGGTTCATCGGTGGAATACACACAACATCATGGTGTATCTAACTGAGCATCGATCTGAATCTCTAGTATTAACTGCATCTAGTAAAAGTGTGTGTGGTGATCTATTTGATGGCAGTGTAAGCACGTATGGAGAGATCGGTGGTGGAATAACCGATGTGACTCTAGGTGTCACCAACGGTCCAAGTGTCTCAGATGTAGGGGGCTGGTGAATGAATAGGTGGTGTGGTAGTATGGGTCAGCAATGGAATAGGTTTCCCTAATGAGAGGGCAATGAGTAGTGGAGTGTGAAGGTAGCGGGTAAGGGATATGATGAAGTGAAAATAGTAGTCATCCTTGATGAGGAGGTCTGTCTTGGGGCTCGTGTCACCGCCGTTCATTGTGGCATACGTATACCATGTTGAGGTGTAAGAATCGGTGTTGCAACTAGTGGCTACCTAACGTCTAAAGGTGCTTGGAATGGACGTCAGTGCTCATGAATAGCCTCCAAACACTGGGAGCTTACATCTCTGATTCCGCTCATAGCCACTAAGCAAGTACTCAAGTCTAGCTGACCATGAACTGTATCTTCAACACTGTCTACTCCTGCACAACCATACGAATATAGTATTAGTCAAATATCAAGTAATGAAGGTAACATGTGAATATGAACTGACAATTTAGCAACACATACCGATAGTTTGATGATACTGTCAACGGGCAAGAAACCAATATTAGGCCTCAAAATATGTGGACCGATAAGAAGACAAGTGATACGCCAGTACCACACCATGTATGGATCGGTGGGATTTATCAGACTAACAGTGGGCTCTCTTGCAATAATAGAGTCCCCCCGATCATCCCACATGTTGATATAGTGCTGATGAGCAATAATCTAGTTATATCTAGGCCTGCCATGCCCGTTAGTAGTATGAAGCTCCATAATCTAATCGCACGCAGCGGGTATCAAGTGCGTCAAATGAAACTATTGGAGTACACGTTCTCCACATATCTTGCCCCATAAGACAATAGTCAAGTAGGGTAGCCAACACATCCACCGTGAAAGACTGTGATATCATTTGTAAAATCAAAATGTTAATTGAATTGTTAGAAGACATTAAAAAAAAAATTTGGCAAAGTTTCCCCAAAAGCAATGTTGTTGGAAGTAACTTTTGAACCAATTTTCTTACAATACATTAGAAAGGGGAGTGAGGATTGGAGAGAGAGGTAGAGATAGGGAGAGAGGGGCAAACAGAGAGTGACAGAATAGAGAGAGATAGAGAGGAAGAGAGAGTGGCATACAGAGAAAGAAAGAGATATAGTACTAGTAAGGGAGGGAGTGTGGACGAGGTGGAGGAGTGTTGGTGGTGGTGGTTGTGGATTCCACTACTTCAATGCGTTAATGAGCACTCGCTAGAGAAGATAGCATCGTCACTAGGGTCGCCGGAGTGGCTGGATTTCCAGAATTGTGGTGGATTTGGTGGAGGAGTGGTGGATCGTGGCTTAGGGTTCAGGAGTTGGGGGAAGAATAAAGGCTGATGGATTTTAAATTGTTAAAAATTCGGTTGGACTAACTTTTTAAGCTTAAAAATGTTAGTCCAAATTGAAAATTTTGGTCAAAGAAAGAAGAGCGAAAGGAGAAAGAGAAAATATTATTATTGCTAAACAAGTCAATAATACAAGTTAAATATAAAATACACAATATAGACCCTTATATAATAGGGAAACAAAGAATAAAATAAATGCCCAAACTACCCTTAATATTAATACTCTAACACAAATGACGTTTACATTCAATCTCTCTTTAAACTATTCTTGACTAAATGTCTTTTTTTAACTTGAAAACATTAGTTCAACTGAAGTTTTATTCTAAAAAACGTTTTTAAATAGTTCACCCGACGTTTTTAAGTTGAAGACATCAGTTGGACTGAAGTTTTTAAAAATTACTTAGGTTTGAGAAATACTTTCAAAACAACCTGGGTTTGGGAATTTTTTTTCAAACTACCATGGTTTGGTAAAAAGCTCGTAACTTGGGATTTGTCTAAATTTTAGGTGTTCAAATAATTTTTTATTTGGAAAGTCTAAAAAGGCTTTTGCTTTTCATAAAACCTCTTGATTTTCTTTGTCCTTTTAATGCCAAGGGACTCCAGAAATTTCTTTATTTGGCAGCATCACAATATTCATTGTTTATAAGTGGAACAAGGCTTTGTTGGGTTGAGTAATATGATCTATTATTGTTTTCTGGAACAATATGTTCTGTTGTATAGACCGCAAATCTTCACTATTATTATCTTTTCTTTTTTCTTTAAGATTAAAATAAATATTCATTCTTAACTAAAATTTGTGCAGGTGTGTTTCACCAGTGTTGGAGATTAGGATTATTGGGCAGGGCATAACTGAACATGCCGAACAATTGGTTGTTTTTTATGGATCTTGATGGGGGATCATCTAACATGCTTCCAATGGATCCACTTGTGCCGCATACTCTAGGGGCACATTTGTTGTCCCACATTAGTTCATTTGTTGACAGTTCTCTTTACCACGCTAGATTCTTGTATGCCCCTGGAAGTTTGGCACTTCGGGAAGCTTTCAACTCTGTTTCAAAATTTGCTGGTGCTCTACTATTTTGGTTTGCTAGTGGGTCGAATTCCAATATTAATCGCCCATTATCCGGAAACTCCGCTTCAGATAATAAAAGCTATAATTCTTTAAGACAAGTCAAGCAAATTAGTTCCACAAGACATAACCTTAAAGGATTTCACTATAATTCAAGATTGAAAGGTGTTGTCCCTATGATTTTTGGTAAGGTTTCTAGTTTCACTGTGGGAAAACTGTGCAAACAAGCTGAACAACTACAATATTTGCCATTGCTCTCACTAGCTGCAGCTCTGGTACCACCATTGGACAATGTGTAAGCTCATTTTTTTTATACAACTGATCCATTTTCACACCATTTTTAGATTTTTCAAAATTTTGGTTCATTGAAGGACATTAAGAATTTTTGTGCTTTCTATTTTATTGTTTTTCTCATAGATTTTCCTCATTTTTTTTCCCTTGCTGGTCATCAGATGTCCGAGTGTACTAGCTATTCCACTAGAGAATTGTGATATTGAAACAAAGAGATGCATGAATCAAAGGCTCTGTGATGTTGAGCACGGGGAATGCAGTGATCTTTCCTTCCGCAATTTAAATTGGACACATGCAGTTGAGCCTAGAACCGGCATTGAGTTCCCTACTATCTTGGAGAACATATTATCTGCAGAGAATCATTCCAAGTTTTCATCAGAGGTTGGCATGTGATTTTTATAACTTTTGTTGGTGTTCTCTTGAACATGATATCCTCCAAAACTGTAGTCATGCATTTATTTGCATTTTCTTGCAGTGTAGCAGCTTCCTAGATTTGTATGCTTATTAAATTATAAGATTGGATCTCCAGTTATTGACAATATCTCTGCAGATTTTGTTGTCTTCGCATTTTTTTTCTTTGTAGCAAACACTGATTGTGTAATACCCATCATGCAGATCTGAGACAAATTTCAAGATTTTAGACATTTATTCCGGTGGTTTGTTATTCATTTTGCACATTTTTGCACAATTATATGTCATGTCATTGATCTATAAAGTCTCTTTATAACTCTTGTCACTAATCCTAACTGGCCATGACGAAATCTGCAATACAAATTTTGCACAATTGCTTGGTGCCACCTTCAGCTTTTATTAAGTTCATACAATTCTTCTTGGGTTTTCTTTATATTCGTACTTAATAACTTTGAAAGCTTTGATCAAACTAAGAAGAAAAGACAGAGGAAGAGAAAGAGAAAAGAAGTCTGCTACTCTAATCTTCCATCATAATAAAGCTATATAGGAGAGTTCCTATATATAAAGACTAGAATACCCCTTGACAAGGCTTTTCACTATTTCTTTCCAGAGAAGGTTGCTCATCCAGCCCAGCGGATGGCAGTGTAATGCTGCCGAAAAATGTAAGCCCCTTTTTCTTTATTGGTAAATATAGGTTGGGAAAACTAATGAGAAATATACATAAACATAAGCACAATCTTAACACTCAAGGATTGAAATATCGTTTCGAAGTATCATTTCAGTTAGCTCAAAAACGAAAATGTTTCAAAAACTAGTCGGAAATGCAATAGAAATACAAAAAAAATATGGAAACACAAATACAATCCATTTATTTATAAAGATAAGCTTTATAATTGATTAATTGATCATATTTATTGGGTTAACATCCATTTATACAAGATAACATCAAGTTGGAGGAAAAAAAAGCTTGACATGTGGCGGAAATCACTTAAATAATAATAAATAATATTCTTTCATTAATATTAAAATCATTGCATAAACAATTTTTACACATAAATACTTAATTCTAGATATTTAACAAATAAGGTATAATTAAATAAATGACTTGCAGTTTTTTAATATACCAATTTAACAAATAATAATAACATAAAAGAATAATTGCAAAAAAGAAAAAAAATAATGAAGGGAATTAAATGAAATTTGTTATACTTATGTATACTTAAAAATTATAATTTGGGGTACTAAAAGAAATTTGTCATACTTATAAGCTAAAACAAAAAAAAAAAAAATGTGAGTGACGAGGCAATCTCGACTCTCAATGAGAAAGAGAGAGATAGGAGAGAGAGAACATACGATCGACGACTGAAGATGTCGAAGAGATAGAGAGAAGAAGAAGACGAACATACCTAGCTCTTGTTCACATTTGAGTATTCTCTTGGTATTTTCTACATCATATTTTGTGATTGATGACCTTTGGTGGATTGTATAATTAATTGTGGGTTTCTTGATGGCGACTTTGAATGGTAGTAATGGTGGTACTCGTGGTGGTGATCGTGAACCGCCTCATAATGTCTGTCGTGGTAGTCTATGCACACAACATAGTGGATGTGGTGGTCATTCTCGGTGGAAGTGCACTTATTGTGGTGGTACAGGACACACTAAGAAGTAAGAATTATTGTTGGGATAAATATAGGAGATCAATATATGCTAATCAGATTTCTAATGATACTTTGGGTTCTCTAGTACATCAGACTTTTACCAGTGGTCCAATTGTTCTACTATTTATTTTCATGATGATCTTTCTTTTCAGTTTTGTCAGTTCATCCAACAATTATCTTTACTTTCTATACATTTATCAGTTCCTACTACCGGTCTTACTAATAGAGGTAATTTTATATGTGTGGTTGATCAACCTTCCTCGTCATTTTGGATTATTGATTTAGGAGCTAGTGCTCATATGTATAGTATTTCTTTGTTTTTTTTTTTTTTAATTTTCGTTCGTCTAACTCATGTATTGTGTTGGCTTATAGTTCTTTTCGACTAGTACATGAGACTAACAATCTTTGTCCTACTCAGTTTGTTTGTTCCTAATTTTACCTTTAGCTTGTTATTTGTGAATCACCAAGTCTTTACGGTGTTTAGTAACATTCTCTACATCTTCTTATATTATTTAGGATCCTAAGTTAACAAAGGTGATTGTTTTAGGGCATGAGAGCAATGGCCTTCACTACTTAGATGCTGGAGGTTATGTTCCTACCTTGAGTGCTACTGTGTCTCCTCTCCAGCGGTGCTCCCAACTAGGTCATCCCTCCTTTCAAAAGTTGCGTTAAGTTATCCCTAGTTTGAGTTGTTCTTCCATGTTAGAATGTGAGAATTCTCAATTAGGCAAGCATCATCTTAGTTCTTTTCCTCCTAGTTCAAGTCATCAGGCTAGTCATTTTCTTGTTATTCATATAGACATTGGAGGTTCTGCAAGAGTCAAATGTATTTCTGATTTTTAGTATTTGGTAATCTATGTTGATGATTTCTCTCGTATGAGGTAGTGCTTTTTTATGAAATACTAATCTAAATTGCATAAGATTTTTATTATTTTTTATAATAAAATTCTAGTTTAGCTTGATAAACGTATTAATGTTCTTAGGTCTGACAATGCCCTTAAGTATACTCCATTGTTTATAAAAACATTTTGTGTTGACTGTGGTATTATCCATCAAATTACCTCTCCACACGACTCCCAATAAAATGTCGTTGCCGAATGTAAATATCACCATTTGTTGGATATTGCCCGCACCTTTGTTAGGTATCATTAGTTATGCTTTATGCTTTATGCTTTATTTTTAGCTTTGAGAATATTCTTGTACTTTGTGCCTATAAATAAAGTTTGGTCGTAGTTGTGGAATTAAACACACTACTCTCTTCTCATGTTTTTCTCTCTTTATCTCTTCTCTTTTTTCTCCTAACCTGAACAACTTCACAACTCAACTTGGTATCAGAGCAACGATTAGATCTAACCTTTCAAAGTTGTTGGAATTCATCAGAAATTACATAGCGCAACCAGGAATGGGCTTCGTCAGCATCTGATGTGCTGATGTCAGGATCGACTCAGTTAGATTTTTTTTCGGAATCACATGGGTAGACTCGAAATTTGATGCTAAGAATTATGATTATTTTTCTGAATTTTTTTGAAGCCATCTAGCTGGTCATTGGATTTTTCGAAGGTTTTTTTGGAAAATTTTGGTATTACACCCAGATCTACTGTTTTTGCACAATTTGGGCACATTTTTTGGACCCAATCCACTCAATCTGGCTCGACTAGGGTAGAAGAATAATGCCCAGTGGTTTCCCTTGCATCTGGAGTGGATTGGAGCCATTTTTGGCTTATTTTTGGTGTCAGCAGTTGGAATTCCTACTGTTCAGCGATTTTTTTTTGCCTTTGGTTGCCTCACAGAGGCTGGTTGACCTTGCTTTTTGCCCGAACAGCTACTGTTTCCACTTGTTTTGATACCCAGAGGTTGTTTGCCTACATTCTGCTATTGTTGGAGTTATTTAGTGTGTTTCCTGGAGATATCTGGTGGGTTGTTATTGTTGGAGTTGCTGGTGGTGCTAACAGCTTTTGTCTGCTGCTGGTTATTTGTCCTAAGGTTGGACCTTAAGCTTTCTTTGTTGGTTGCCAGCTATTGGGTTGCAGCTACTGGTTGTTGGCCAAGAATTGTACCTTGAATTTTTTTTCTTTTGTTGCTGGCTGCTGATCCTTGAATTAGACCTTTTGCTTTTTTTTTGGGCCGTTACTCACTGGTTTTTCTTGGTTGCTAGCTATTGGCATTCGATTGGGCCTTGGGCTGATGTTCTCTTGAGGGCTTTTATCTGGTTGGGTTTGCTGGTTTTTAGCCTCTGGTTGGGCCCCCTCATCCTTGGTCATTTTTTAGCCTTAGTTTGAGGCCTTTTGCTGCTGTGGTGCGAATCTTGGTGTTGTATCCAATTTTGTTGGTCGTGATTGCGTCATTTTGGTGCTTTTTTGGTACCATGGACTAGGATATCTTGAAGTGTGATTATTGTGGGAAGAATAGACTTACTAGGGAGTTTTTTTGGAAGTTGAATGGAGGACTCACACGTGGCCGAGGTGATAGTGTATGGTTCCATGCACACATGACTGAATCTTCAGAACATCCATCTCAATCTAGTGGCAGTACTTCCACTTCCTTTTCTCAGGATGAGATGCAAACTCTCAAAAGTCTAATGGCTCAGCTTGATATTGACAACTTGACAGAACTTTGAACAATAAAACTGAGAAATTATGAATTCCGAGTGAGTGCCATACCCTTGCAGGGCTCCTCAATATATAGAATCTGTATTCTATGTTTGGTATCTTTACAATTAATGATTCCCTTTGATTGGGGAATTATACAACTTCCTTTGATTGGGGACTTACACCGCTAGCATATACATACAAGGAAATATTTATGATTCCCTTAGATTAAGGAATCAACCTAAAAGAAAACAAGAAATCCCCATTTGACTGAGGAAACACAATTAGTGTTGACTTCCCCTCAAATTAATGCTGGTGAATTAACCAGCAACAATTTGTTAACTATAAAATTAATGACAATTCTTAGGCAAAGCTTTGGTGAAGATATCAGCGGTTTGAAGCTACATAGGAACATGAGGAAGAGTAATTATGTGCTCATCAAAAGCATTGTGAATGAAATAACAATCCTCTTCAATATGCTTGATCTTACTAGGACTAGTATTGTTAGTATGAAGTTTGGTTGGAGAAGTTTAAGAAAAACCCAATTCTGCTAGAATTCGCTAAAGCCAAATACTTTTTGAACAAGTACTAGACATAGCGCGGTATTCAGATCTGTGGATAACTTGGATACTTGCTTTTGTTTCTTGCACTTACAAGAAATGAGTGGTCTTTTGAGGTACATACACCAGTTGGTGGTAGACCAACGAGTATCTGGACATCTGGCCCAATCAGCATT